GGGCGGGCCTCTCTCCCAAACTGGAAAGAGAAGAAGCAAATCTGTAGGAGGCCGGCCGTGGACAGGAAATAGGGATTGGCCTTCTGAGTGGGAAGAAGGGCCTGTACAGAAGCGCAGGATGGAGGACACGTGGCACGTTGGGCCTGCTCTCCCGACAGGTAGCCACGGAGGGTCGGGTCCCCTGGCGGACGCGCCCCGCGCAGACAAGTACGCGCTCACCTCAGCCTCCGCGCCAGTGCTGGGAGTCCACTTCCGGGAAGTGGCGTCACTCGGAACGGTCCCTCCGCTCGTTGCCCTGGCGACGCTACCCTGGCCAATCCCAGGCCTGTTCCGTGGACATCGCCGCCCTCCTTGGACTACATTTCCCATAAGCCTCAGCAAGCAAGAACAGGGGAACATTATCAGAGGCTTCTCTGGACTGAGACGCTCCGTTGCTCTTGAGGAATCCGCAGTGCTGCAGTTTAGGGAGCTCCTTCCCTTGTGTAGCAGCCACACTTTCTTTGCATACGAACCCCAAAACTCTCCCACTGTCAACCGACGGAGCCTCGAATACCTGCGCATGTGCTTAGCGGACCAAATTTCTATTGGAGGGTGCTGGTATCTCTCGGCCAATCAGAGCGAATATCCCGTCCCAGCACCTGCCCGAGCACTCTTTCCAAGGCTTCGTTCGCGTCCAGCTGTCACCCAGTAACAACTACAGCCCTTCCAAGGGCCTCTTGCTGTTTCCATACCGATGGGAGAGTCTCCCCGACCCTGAGGAGGCCGGAAGAAGTGGCTCTGGCCTCTGAGTAAAAGATTCACTTGAAATTCCGCTGCAGGCAGTCCTGGGTAGAGGGCAGGCGGGATTTGTGGGGGTGGGAGATCATTCGACCTTTGTTAAGCGCCCTGCAGCCTTCGGAGGACACAGGCAGTCTGGTGCGCAACCATTTACTGAGGAGGTAACCATGTGATCACTGTCTCACTCATCTTCAAATAATAGCCCTGCAAATGGAGGCTGGAGATTTCTGTTCAAGTTCATGGGATGTGCTCAGCCTTCCCTTTGGGAACCAGAAGTAGTCAAAGTGATGTTTCTCTCAATAGGCACTGTTTCTGTTTTTTAAAAAATCAAACCGTTGGGCTGAGGATTTAGCTCAGTGGTTCTGCTACCTGCCTCTCAAGAGCAAGGTCCTGAATTCGATCCTTGATACCAAAAAAAAAAAAATCTAACCATATAACTGGGTCAGTTTTGCTTCCACATCAAGTGGCTGCACCATGACTTATTCATTCAACCCCAGACTACATTTTGTGTTTTGGTTTCTTCTGTTAACCTGGAATCCCAGCTACCAGCTCTGGATGAAGAGCAGTAGTCCTACCACTGACTGGAGACTCTGAGCAGTTGCGTGGTAGAGCGCATCAACTGAGGTTTCTGGCAGCTCCCTTGGGTTGGGCTATTTTGGAAGCATGGAGGTTTGTGGGGGACTATGCAGGTTCTCTGGAAACAACTCTCTCACCGCAGGTGGGGAGGGTGCGTGGGGCTCTAATGGCTCTCAGAGAGCTCTTCCCCAGGCAGTCTGGTATAGGCCTCCCCTCCCTGGGCTGCTGGTTTCCAAGTCTGCTGCTGTGCTACAGGATAAGCCTGGTTGGGCCTCTCTGTTTTCCCCATTGCCAACTCAGTGTTCGGCTTTCCCTTAATTAGTGACATCTCCTCTATCCACGTGTAGAACGCCATTGCTATCAACTCCTTTCCCCATTCACATATTTCTGTATTTGTGTGTGGGTTTCTTTACACCACTCGGCTATATGGAGGAATGGACTGCACAGATTGTAGACTTCTTAAACCCAGAGAATTAGCTCCTTGAAACATGTTGCTTGCTCCCCAGATGACTACCATTTGTTGATATGGGATTATTGTAAAAGCCAGATCTATTCAGATCACCAAGAATAGCATCTAGACTATCCAAGTCTCCAGATCCCTCTTCACTTGTTTCCATCTTAATTTTAGGGTCTCTTGATTTGAGGTGGGAACGGTGGAGCCACTGCACTGACTCGTTTTATTATCCATCCCTTCAACTCGGGGCTGTAATTCTTTACAGAGTGTATCACTGGGACATCCCTGTCCAGCAAGCATCTAAGAAGTGCATTATTATCCTTCTTCTTAGGACTCAGCTGCTCTTTCTTGACAGTTCCCTCACCACAACCAATTGTACTGCTGGTGTCTTTTTCAGTGGCTTCTGCAGTAATCTTGGCTACTTCAGCTGGTGAATTCCCATTCTGCAGCAACTTATGCAAAATCCAGTGCTTCTCTTGCAACAGTGACCCATGCATCTTGGATGTGGAGAACACTCTGCATTTGTTTTAAACACCTTGTGGTTTCAGTGGGTTGGAGCCAAATATGATGTTTGGTCTGACCTCCTGACATCAAGGCCCAGGGACACTTCTACAGTCCCAGCTTATTCAGGGTTCAGAGACCAGCCCAATATGACCTTGGGCTGAGGAAAGGGCAACTCAAGAGCGAAGATTTGGAAGGAGGGAGCCCAGACTGGAGACACTGACCAGTTCTGGGTGTTGGAGTAGAATCGAGAGTGCAGCCAAGGGACAACAGGGGCCCAAGCAAACAAGTGGCAAGGAGCACCATGTAGGGAAAAGGCTAGCTGGTTAGACAGGACTGGGCACTGGATTCAGTCTGAGGGGTCAGGTGGGCTTGGGGAAGAAACTTGGCTCCAGGAACTCCCACCCAACACATAGGAAAAGTTTCATGTGACTGTCTGGGTACCCACTTGCTTGACAGGTGCCTTCAGTCCTGAATCCCACAACCTCCCCAAGTCTCTGTGGCTGGTGGTTTGTCTGCATTTCACAGATCTGCAGCCTGAGACCACAGCTCGGTGAGTGGGAGGTGGACAATGGTTTGGGGGATCAGGAGGCTCAGCTCAGAGGGCTCGCCTTGGAGGGTCCTGGAGAAGTGGTCCAGCATGCCTCCCTCCTTGTAGGAATACATGTGACGCCTGATGGGCAGATGGGTCTGGCTCCAATGGTACGTGAACAGAACAGCTGCATCTGCCATCTGGGCCCAGGCGACGGCTGTAGTGCCTCGGAGGTGATAGGACTGGGGCACCCTGGGCCAGAGTCAGCTCTGCATTTATGGTGCATGACCACTCCTGTTTCCCCCGCCCACCTCACTTCCATAACGTGAATCCACAAAGGCTCAGCTCCCAGCAGAACTGTGGCTCCAAAGCAGCCCCACCCTAATCCACTGCAGGGCACCAAGGGATACAGATGCCCTAGTCCCTCTCCAGGTTACAGCCTGGCTGCATCTCTCCCCAGTCTCTCCAGGTTGAGCCAAATCCCGGAACCTCTGTGCTGACAACACCCCAGTGGCACGTTCATTTAATACTGTCTGGATTGCAGCAGGGTAAAAAGGGCATCAGGCTGCCACTGTTCACACAAATGTTTAAAAAGAAGCCTTGGGGTCCAGGGGTGTACACCTGTAATTCCAGCATTCTAGGAGGCTATGGCAGGACTGCATATTCTACTCCAGCCCAGGCAACTTAGTGATCTGAGAACCTGTCTCAAAATAAAAAATAAGCTGGGCATGGTGGTGCATGTCTGTAATCCCAACTCTGGGGAGGCTGATGCAGGAGGGTAGCAGGGAATTTGAGGCCAGCCTGAACAATATAGCAAGACGGTCTCAAAAAAAAAAAAAAAAAAAAAAGACAACTTACAACTATTCCAAGTTGTAAATACTAGTTTGTTTTTCCGGTCCAAAGATCACTCTCTGCCAGTGAGGCATCAGGTTGGAACACAGCCTGGTCTGCTGAAGGACATAGAAAACAAACTAAGCGACCACCCCACCCATCTGCCGCCAAAGCCCCAGAGGGCACCAGTCTCAGATAATGGGAAGTTCTCCCTGTTCCGCAGTCATCTTCCAGCCCAGGTGGGAGAACAGGGGACATGTGGCCACCAACCCAGCAAAAATGAGCAACTCTATCTCTTTTCCTCCGAAGTTATTACCATAGCCTTAGATATAAAAGTCCCTTGAACACTGACTTTGGTGTCCGGAGCTGGTGACACGGCTTGGGTGAGAATGTGCATGGTACAGCCAGGGAGAGCATACCTTGGTCTACCTTTCCACTGCTGAGGGCCACATGCCCCCCACCCCAGGCCTCCATCTTTCCAGAGTCTGCTGTGCCTGGGGAGCCAGTGTGCCTGAGTACTAGTCTGTTTCTGCCGTGTGCCCTGGGGAACTCACTTCCCCTCTCTGGGACTCTACTTCCTCATCTTTTAAGTGGGGATAGACACCAGTACAGAGCTCACAGGAGGAAATTTCCAGTACCTAGAGGGGCTGTTGGTGACCAAGTGGGACCATATTAAGATCCTGCTAGTCAGGTGGGGCCAGATTTTTTTTACCCCAGAGGAGGAAGGTGAGGCTCAGAGCCCAGTCACCTGCACAGGCCAGCCCCCAAACCCCCATTTCCAAAGCCTTCAGAGGTCTGGGCAGGCCCAAGGAAATCCCTACATGGCAGAGGCCTGGGGGAAGTGGCTAGTGCATGCGCAGAGAAGCCTGTCCAGGCTTCTGGTCCCGTGAAGCACCCAAGAGGCAGCCTCCTGGGGCTCTGACTGCTGTACAGGTTCAGGGCAAGCCCTGCCTCTGGTTGAACGCTGGATGTCTCTGCTGCGTGACCTTTCTGAGGACAGAAGCATGGGCTGTGACCAATCCTGTCCCCAGGTATAAAGGGCCTCAGGCCTAGGCAGAGCCCGAGTTGGTGGGAGCCCTGGCCTCCTTCCCTGCCATCTCCTCCGCTGGGGGAGGCCGGGCCCTTGGCCGCCGCAAGGCCTTCTCGCCTGTGTGGACCCGCTGGTGGTGGAAGAGCGCAGGGCGCTCACGGAAGGCACGGCCACACTGCGGGCAGGCGAAGGGCTTCTCGCCTGTGTGGATGCGCCGGTGGCTGAGCAGCACTGCGCCCTTGGCGAAGGCCTTGCCACAGTCTGCACAGCGGAAGGGCCGCTCCCCCGTGTGCAGCAGCCGGTGCTGCGTGAGGTTGGAGCTGTGGCTGAAGGCGCGGCCGCACTGCGCGCAGGCGAAGGGCTTCTCGCCTGTATGCACGCGCTGGTGCTTGAAGAGCGAGGAGCCCTGGCTGAAGGCAGCGCCACAGAGCGCACAGGCGAAGGGCTTCTCACCCGTGTGAGTGCGCTCGTGCTGGATCAGGTGCGAGTTGCGGCAGAAACGGCGGCCACAACGTGCACATGCATAGGGCCGGCCTCCCGCGTGGATCTTGCGATGCTGGCTGAGGTTTGAGCCGTGGCTGAAGGCCTTGCCGCAGTCACCACAGCGGAAGGCCTTCTCGGCCGTGTGGATCCGCTGGTGGCGCACAAGCGAGGAGCTGTGGCGGAAGGCCTTGCCACAGGCTGGGCAGGCATAAGGTGTCTCGCCGCTGTGAATGCGCAAGTGTTGCGTCAGGTGTGAGGTTTGGCTGAAGGCCTTGCCACACTGCACGCATGCGTAGGGCCGCTCACCAGTGTGCGTGCGCAGGTGCTTCAGTAGGTCGGAGCTCTTCACGAACACCTTGCTACAGGCCGTGCACTCGAAGGGCTTCTCCCCTGGGAGAGGCCCTGGCTCGCCCTGCTCCTCCCCTAACCCTAACCCCCAGGCTGTGCCACGATCCCCCGGGTCTGGCTGGAGGGATGCTCGAGGGACCGTCGACCGATCCTCTGGGTCCTTGTCCCTGGGCCCGCCACCCCTCTGTGGGGAGCTCAGCCGCAGCCCTGAACCCAGCAGGAGCCTCTCCCAGTAGATCACCGAAACTCCTGTGGGCTTCCTCTCTCTGGACAAAGCGGTGCCTGGTGGGACACTAGCAAGAGGGCCAGGGCAGGTGCCAGAGAAGGGCCCTCGCGTTGTGGCTTCTCTGGAAATGCTTCTGTGCTCAGCCACCCAATGGGAACCTAAGGGCAGAAAAACGTGGCTGCTTCAGGTGACCAGAGCAAGACCTGCGGGCAGGTTGGGACCCAGGGACTGGATAGCAGAGGCCCCTGAGAAGGGGAGCAAGGAAGCCTGGGCACGACTGACTGCAGCCAGACCTCAGGAAGTAGGGTGCAGGAAGCTGAGCAGGACTCTTCCACAGGCCCCCTGTAATTTACATCGCTGAGACCAAACAGCTGGGAAAAACAGGAGGAAAGGATTACTTTGGCTCAGTTTCAGAGGTTTCAGTCCATAGCCACTTGGCTTTGTTATTCGTGGGGCCAGGGAAAGAGGGAGCTGTTCACCTCAGAAAATTGGTACCAAGAGGGGCCACTGCTGTGATTACACCTGATCATGTGGCTCAGAACCCTTTGGACAACTGATTTTTTTTGGTACCAGGAATCAAACTCAGGACCTTGCACTTACCAGGCAGGCATGGTACCACTGAGCTAAATCTCCAGCCCCTCAGAAGCCTTTGGAACTGGAGCTTAATGGATGATTCTGGTGTGAACTCAGGTAAGATACCTGATAGGAATATAGACAGTACTTTTTTTGGTTTTTTGAGACAAGGTCTCACTATGTAGTTCAGGCTGGCCTTGAACTCACAAGGATCCTCCTGCTTGAGCCTCTCAGGTGCTGGGACTATAGGCATGTACCACCACATCTGGCCTGTTTTTGTTTTCTTGAGACAAGGTCTCATTATGCAAGCCAGTTCAGGCTGGCCTTGAACTATGTAGCTATGGCTGGCCTTAACTTCAAAATGACCTTCCTGCCTGAACCTCCTGAATGCTGTGGTTACAGACTTGTGCCACCACGCCTGGCCAGTACAGACAATTCTGGTGGGAATTGGACTAGAGGCTATTCTTGGTGCATTCTGGCAAAGAATGTGTCTACATTTTGTCCATGCCCTGAGACTTCACAGGAGGCTGGGTTTAAAAGGTGGAAGACTTACTAATCTGGTGAAGGAAATTTCATTAGGAAAATTCATTAGGAATTCATTGGGAAAAGACAGAGCAGAAAAGATTTTAAATGGATGCACCTTGAGACTATACTACCACATTGTTTCTCTGGTGTAAGAAACCAAAAGTGGAAATAAGAACCACAATGTATAATAGATATTGAGAAATGGGAAGAAAATGTTCAAATGAGAATGGGAATGAGGGGGAGGGGGAAAGGAAAGAAGGGACAAGGAAAAAAATAGGAAGGAAAAAATGGAAACAAAGCTTTTGTAAATAAGGAGGGGAAGAGGAATTAAAGGGGGGAGGGGAATGGGAAAAAAAGAAGCAAGATATATCATGGATAGGTACAAATTTCCTATGATGAATGTTACCATTATATAAATCTGAAATGTACCAATAAAACTAGAAAAAAAACATGAAAAAGAGCCTGGGGATTTAGCTCAGTGGTTCCGGCACCTGCCTTGCAAGTGGCAAGGTCCCGAGTTTGATCCCCAGTACCAAAGGGAAAAAAAAAAATGAAAAAAATTTTCAAATATATCCCCCTCAAAAAAAACAAAAACCCCACCAAACAAACAAGTGGAATGTAGCAGTGGATGTAGGGAACTACAATGGCTGGTGAGTTATTTGGGTTCAGATGCCCACCCCCGGGAGAGGGCAACTGGCAGGTAGTGATCTTAGAGAGGGGCCAACTGAGCCTGGAACTCAGAGGAGCTTTGGGGTGGCTCCATCTAGCAACTCCAAGCCTCTGGGTGAGGTGGAACCGAGTTTAAGATAGGGGGAGGTCAAGGAGCCGAATTCAAACTGGCAGGAGGCACAGAGTGTTGCAGGCTTAACAAATTGGGTTCTAACCTCACAGCCAGAAACCAACCTGAACTTCAGTGGAACTAAAGATGCAGGCTTGCTGGGATTATCCACTACCCCACTGTACATCCTACAGCTGACTTGCTGGAATTAATGCACACAGATCTGGGCTGTTTGCCCACTGTGTCTACCAGTGAGAGTAGACATCCCCTGTAGTGGACATTTTGTTTTCTTCTTTTCATTTTTGTTTTTTTGGCTAGAACTGGGGATTGAACTCAGGACCTTGCGCTTGCCAGGCAGGCACAGTGCCACTGAGCTACATCCCTGGCCCTCTTTTCTTGGTTTTTTTTGAGTAGCGGGGATCAAACTTGGGACCTTGCAAGGCAGGTGGTGGCACCACTGAGCTAAATCCCCAGCCCTTGTTTCTTTTGTTGTTGTTTCATTTTGTTTTTCCTGATTACTTCTTCTTGTTTTTATATGAGGTGAACATTGTTTCCAGTTTTTTTGTTGCTGTTATTTTTATTTCTTCCTTCTCTCTTTCCTCCGTCTTCTCCACCAGTTTCCCGAAGGTTGCGTGATCTTTGTCTCCAGCCTTGCTTCTAATCTCTTCCTCTTCTTCTATTTCTGTTTTTTCCCCCCAATCTCTTTTAAACTTTCTGCCTTGAGGGTAAAATCGCCACACTGAGGCACATATACTGTATACAATTTTCTGGTGTTTTAAATTTTGTTATATAACCACAAATATAACTCATACAGTTAAAGGTGGCTTTTTTTTTTTTGGTACCAGAGATTGAACTCAGGATTTTGTGCTTGTGGAGCAGGCATCAGAACCACTGAGCTAAATCTCCAGCCCAAAGGTGGCAAATTAATAGTTATCACGATTTATTATTTTCTAGGCTGTGTTTGATGATACTGTTTTTTGGGGGGTTTTTGGTACTCGGATCAAACTCAGGACCTTGCACTTGCAAAGCAGGCAGCAGAACCACTGAGCTAAATCCCCAGCCCTAATGCTAATGTTATTGCTGACTATACTGCTTTAGCCAAGGTAACATAATTGTTCTAATCAGTTGTTCTTCCTGGTATGCAAAGACTGAGATTGTTCACAAACAATACTATAGGCCAGTGCCAAAGAATCAGGGAATAGGCCAAACAGGCAGCAACTTCTCATTCCCAATAAATTGAAGAGGTAGGATCATGCAACAGACTCAAAACTCAAAAGCCAGGTACATCTGGAAGATATCTCTGAGTAGTCATTTCCTAAAGGTTCTCAATACTGGCAATAAAGCTACCCTCCATAAGCAATTTACAAGCATCAACCCTGGAATTAAACAAAAAAAGAAAGAGAAAGAGAGGGAGGGAGGGAGAGAGGGAGAGAGACAAAGAGAAAAAGACAGAGAGGGAAGAAAGAAAGAATGAAAGAAAGAAAGAAAGAAAGAAAGAAAGAAAGAAAGAAAGAAAGATGAGAAGATACTTAAGCAAGATGCAACCCCAGACTTTCAGCTCACCAAAGGCAAACTCAGAGGGCAATAAGGTGGAACAATTCCAAAGGCTCCCACCTGGACTCTCTGAAGTGGTAACAGCGGAAGTAACAAAGCAGATGAATGAGGTTCTACAAAAAAATCAAATCAGAAATAATTCCTCAGATAACTAGAGATGGTGAACATAATGAAAGACATACTTAGTGACTCTAGAGCACATACAAATAAAAATAAAGGAGCTTAGGAAAATGATGGAAACCATGAACACCCAACATAGGAAAGAAACGGAAACCATGAAACAGATTCAACAGGTATCAAGATTAAAAATTCCACTGAATGTATATGCAGTAGAATAAGCCAATGTGAGGACAGAATATCAGATATAGAAGACAGGATTGCAGGTAGTGATCATGAAAAGAAAGATTTCTTAAAAATAGCAAGGAAAAAAAATAGCAAGGAACCAGGGCTAGGGATATAACAGCAGTGTAGCACCTGCCTGTCAAGCACAAGGCCCTGAGTTCGATTCCTGGTACCCAGAAACACACACAAAAAATAACAAGGGACCATTAAAAATCAATCCAGCAGGCACTAAATGATTCAAAAAAAGAATGACAAGATTCATCAGAGTCAACGAAAAAGCAAGAGCTAGCACAAATGACATAAAAAACCTGTTCACAGAAGTAATAGGAGAAAAATTCCCCAGCGGAGAAAAAGAATTTGACATACAAATAGGTGAGGCATATAGAACTCCAATTAGCCATGATCAAAAAGAATCAATACCAAGGCATATAATACTCAAGATTCCAGAAATTCAACACAACTGAATATTGAAAGCTGTTAGAGAAAAGAAATAAATCACCTATAAAGGAAAGCTCATCAGAATCCCAGCAAACTTCTCAACACAAACCCTCAAGTCCAGGAGAGCTTGGAGTAAAGTATTTCAAGTTCTGAAAGAAAACAACCTCCAGCCCAGATTGATGTACGCCACAAAACTATCTTTCAAAATTGATAGGGAAGGGCCAGGGATTTAGCTCAGTGGTTTTGCTGCCTGCTGCGCAAGCACAAGGACCCGAGTTCAATCCCTGGTACCAAAAAAAAAAAAAAAAAATGATGGGGAAATAAGATACTTTCATGACAAAGAACACTTGAAGAAATTCATGACCACCTAACCATCATTCCAAAATGTTATAAAGGACATGGACAATTCCATGATCCCCACAGAATGAACCCACCAGGCAAGGCAAGTAATCAAACGGAGGGGGGAAAAAAAAAGAACAGAGTAAGTCAATACATATCAGTTGTAACCATCAATAGTAATAGTCTCAATTCACCAATCAAAAGAAAGAGACTGGCAGAATGGATCAAGACACAAGATCCAAAAATATGCTGTACACATTCAGACTGAAAGTCAAAGGATGGAAAACAATACTCCATGTGACAGGAACCCAGAAAAAAGCAGGGATAGCTATTCTATTTGCAGACAAAGTAGATCTTAAGCCAAGACTGATTATAAGAGACAATGATCACTATATCCTTACTAAGGGAACAATCAAAGAAGAAGAGATGACAATCATAAATATATCTGCAGCAAATGCCAGTGTATCCAACTATATAAAACAAATATTAATGGACATGAAAAATCAAATAAGCACTAATACAACTGTAACGCGGACCTCAATACCCCAGTGTCACAGACAGATCCTCTAGACAAAAAAAATCCACAAAAAACTATCAGAACTGAACCAAACTTTTCAACATATGGACTCAGTAGAGGTCTATAGAACACTCTACCACACAACATCAGAATACACATTCTTCACAGCTGCACACAGGACATTCTCCAAAATAGACCACATACTAGTTTATAGAACATGCTTAAGTAAATGCAAAGGAATTGAAATTATCCAATGCATATTATCAGATCATAGTGCAATGAAATTGGAAATCAATGGCAAAAGAAACCATAAAACCTTCATAAACATATGGAAATTAAATAACACCCTCCTGAGCAACCAACGGTATCAGAGGGCAATCAATCCTTTGACTGCATAGAAAGGGAGACAGCAAGGGCTAAAGAAAGACAACAGAGACTTTTGTAATTTCAGAGTATATGGGGGCTGGGAGGTCAGTGTCTCCGAGTGGGCAAAGACAAAGACGCTCCGAGCTGCCACTATTTATTGGGTTCACAGGGAGTATCAGATATCTCAGAGGGTGGCGATAATTCTAAATTGATGAGGATCTTATAATCGCAGGAAGTATCAGGTGACTCTGGAGGGTAGTAATCCCATGAAGATGAGGATCTTAGATGAGTGTCGGGAGCAATGCTACATAATTTTAGGGTAAAATCATTTGGTTAGCCTAGTTCTTTTGCCTACAGCCCAGCTACGGAATAACTCCATTTTGGCCTCCGGTCACAACTGAGACCTCAATGATCTGGTGATGCTGTGATTCTCCAGGACAAGAACCATTCTGGGCGCTGAAAACATCCTGGGAGGAACAAACATCTACTCAGTTCCCCATTGTTCTTGGACTGTTAATCTTGTTTACCCAGGATGTACTGAACTCTCTGCAAGTCATTTGTTACATTTGTTCCTAGAGATGTACTGAATAAAACGTGCGGTAAACTAGGGGCTTTCGTTTTTGCCGCCCAGAGCAGCACTGATCAGACCCAAAGCTCAGCTTCTTCTCAGTCTCATTTTTCTACCTTTCCTGTAATTCGCCTTGTGCTGCCGTGGCTCGCAGGAGACTAGAACTTACTGCAGAGGTTCTGGTAACGTCCCCTTTTCCCTGTTCCCTATAGATGAGGTGCATATGTTGATTAGGATGATGAGATGAGCAAAATATTCTTACAACAGTAGGTGGGATGAGTTAAGCTGATAAGGAATTTGTCCCTCTCCAGGTGAGACCTTTCTCTTTTGTATTACTACTTGGTTCTCAAAGAACCAGGATGTCTTCAGCTGATGTAATCCTGCCCTTGAGCATCACAGCATCATGGGACTATTGAGGCTCAGACACCCCTAATCATAATTTAATTGTGAAATGATTTTTTCCCAAAAAATTATGTAGAATGGCTCCTGACACAATGAGTCACAGATGAAACTGGGCTGGGGATTTAGCTCAGTGGTTCCGCTGCCTGCCTCACAAGCACAAGGACCCGAGTTCAATCCCCAGTACCAAAAAAACCCCAAAAAACAAAACAGATGACTCAGTGGTTTCGCTGCCTGCTGCGCAAGCACAAGAACCCGAGTTCGATCCCCGGTACCAAAAAAAAACCCAGATGAAACTAAAAAAGAAATTAAACAGTTTCCATAATTAAATGATAATGCCAATACAACATACCAGAATTTGTAGGACATAATGAAAGCAGTCCTACGAGGGAAATTTATAGCAGTGAATTCCCATATCAGAAAAACAAAGCATGCTCAAATAAATAACCTAATGTTGAAGCTCAAGCTTCTAGAAAAAGAAGAGCAAGTTGGGCCCGGGGATTTAGCTCAGTGGTTTCGCCACCTGCTGCACAAGCACAAGGACCCGAGTTTGATCTCCAGTAACAACAACAAAAAAGAGAAGAGCAAATCAAGCCCAAAACTCATATTTTGGGGAAGGAAATTATAAAGATCACAGCAGAAATTAATGCAATTGAGACCAAGAAAACAATATAAAGAATTAATGAATCGAAGAGTTGGTTCTTTGAAAGATTTTAAATAAATTTGACAAATCCTTAGCCAACCTTATCGAAAAAAGGAAAGACTCAAATTCACGCAAATAGGAATGAAAAGGGTGAAGTCACAACAAATCCTGCAGAAATCGAGATCACCAATACCTACTTCAATATTGTATTCTTTTTTTGTTGTTTTTTGGTACTGGGGAATAACCTGTATTCTAAAAAAAAAAAAGCAAAAACCTGCATTCTAATAAGATGAACAACACAGAAAAAATGGACAGATTCCTAGATACATATGAATTGCCAAAACTGAATCAAGAAGATATAAAAATTCAAAATAAACTATCGTCAATGAAATTGAAGATGTAATTAAAAATCTACCAACAAAGAAAAGCCTAGGGCCTGATGGATTCATTGCTGAATTCTACAAGAAATTTAAAGAAGACTTAATGCCGCTACTTCTCAAACTCTTTAATGATAAAAATGTTCAAAAGAGAAGGGGAAGAAGGGAAGGAGGAGGGGAAAGAGGGGAGGAGCAAGAAAAAAGAACAGAAAAAATGGAAACAATGCTTTTGTAAATGAGGGGAAGAGGGGTTGAAGAGAGCGGAGGGGAATGGGAAAAAAGAAGCAAGATGTATCACGTACACGTACAAATTCCCTATGATGAATGTTATCATTACGTGTATCTACAGTGTACCCCAAAGATAAATAAATTAAAGAAAAGAAAAAAAGCCAAGTACTTTGCACCAGGACATTAGGAAGCCTTTTAATAGGCCAGACTTCACTCCTCAAAAGCTCAAGGGTAGGGCCGGGGATTTAGCTCAGTGGTTTCCGCCACCTGCTGCGCAAGCGCAAGGACTGGAGTTCGGTCCCTAGAACAAAAAAGAAACAAAACAAAACAAAAACCTCAAGGGTATAAAGCTGTAAACTCTTTTTCAATGATTCTGCTTTGATAAGAGCTCTTGGGGCACTCTGCTCTAGCAAGGCTGCCTGGAAGTTGTTTCCCCAGGATTTGTTTATCATACAGGTGCTCAGGGGCTGCTGCAGCTGTGGTCTAAGAGGTCCTGGCTACTGCTTCAGCTGGTTTGGAGTCACCACATGATGCTGGTTTTGCAGGAATGCAGAATATGAGAGTTACAGTGACATGGAGGCCTCCACTGAGACTTCAAAGGCTGCTCTGGGAGCCCAGGCAGTGTGTGGCAGGGGCAGAGTCCCTGTGGGCAGCCCCTGAAAGGGCCATGCGTGAAGCTTGAGAGTGAAGCCAAAGCCACAGCACGGAGCCCAGGAAGTTAAGCAATGCCAGGAACACAGACCGTCTGCCAAGGAATAGGATAGGCAGTGAGCACAGCCAGTCCAGGAGAGACTGGGCTGCAACTGGAAAGCCATAGGAGCAGGGCTGCCTGGGCCTCTGGAGCTCATATCATGGCACCATGTGCCCGGGATAACAGATGGAGCCACAGGGATTATTGTTTGTCCTGCTATCTTGCAGTCTTGCTTTGGTCCAATTCCTTTCTGTTTCCCTACTCCTTCCATTTGGAATAGGAACGTTTAACATTTGCCAGTGTTTCTTGGGAGTATGACTTGCTTTTTAAATTTTACAAGGGCTTGGGGCAGGGATTTAGCTCAGTGGTTTCGCCGCCTGCTGCGCAAGTGCAAGGACCCAAGTTCGATCCCAGGTATCAAAAAAAATAAATAAATAAATTTTACAAGGGCTCACAGCTAAAATTTGTCTTGAGTCAGAGGAGACTTTGGACTTGGACTTTTGAGAAATGATGGAGTAAATGTATTCTGGATTAAGAGATGTACTTGATCCTTTGTGAGCCAGGAGTAGAATGCTACAGTTTGAATTTAAACTATTCCCCAGCCAGGTGTGGTGGCACGCACCTGTAATCCTAGCACTCTGGGAGGAAGAGGAGGAGAATCACAAGCTCAAGCCTAGCCTGGGCAACATAGCGAGACTCTGTCTCAAAATTAAAAAATAAAAAAAGAGCAGGGGATATATGTTAGTACATTTCCCCTGGCCTCAGTACCAAAATTTTTTTTCTAAATGTCTCCCAAAAGGGCTATGGGTTCAGAGTTGGTATTTTCAGAAGGTGAGTGGACCATGAGAGGTCTTTCCCTCTGCTTTCTGGCTGCTATGAGATGAGCAACTACTCTCCTCCACACCCTCTGCCACAGTATTCAGCCTCTCCACAGGCCAAGAGCAATGGAACTAGGCAACCACAGACTGAAATTCTGAAACTGTGAGCCAAAATGAGCTGTACTCCCTTAAACTATTTACCTCAGGTATTCTGTCACAGTGCCAGAAGGCTAACACCACACACATACCCTGTTTCTTTCTCACTTCGCTCCCCAGCCTGCTTTTGCCCCTTGCTCTAGTGCCCATCTGAGGCCGGAGACCATTTGTGAACACTGTTTATTGACTGCCTTTCTCTGTCCTCACCCCACACAAAAGGACCGAGACAAGCTCGGTCATGTCGAGTGCAGAAGCAACATGTGAACACAGGGATGAAGGAAAGACCCCAGGAAAGGGGCAGTGAGATGTGCAGGGTTTGGGCCAGCACAACCCAGCCTGGTGCAGGGCTACTCTGAGCAGGGCTCTGCATGCCTGGGCAGTGACTTCCTATGTGAACAGCCCCTGTGCCTTGGAGCTCCGTCTTTGAGGGCAGCCAAGACCGTACCATGAAGACAGGGAAGAGACAGGAGGCACAAGAGTATATGTCTGTGGGGCCAGGAGGGGAGACAGCGGCTTGGCCACAGACTGGTCCTGACTTTACCCCACCATGAGCCCAGACTCACCCAGGCCCAGCCTCCTGTGAGCGTCCCTGCCCAGGATAGAGTCCTTCCCACTGGGAACCCAAGGCTCCTCACCGCGCTGCAGCTGGATGACCACACGAGGTGGGGAGGAGAAAAATCCTGAAAGGAGGAAGATCAGGTGAGAGGACAACGGCAGCTCAGCACCAGCCAGCCACCCCTCAACATGTAGCAGGGCCAGGGCTACGTGGAAACAGATGGTGCCATCTATGCAACCAGCAGCGACTACGTCAACAGTACCACAGAAGGGGACAGCAGCAGGCACAGGAGGCTGCAGCCAGAGAGGGACACAGAAATAGCTGAGCCACCCAGACTACATCGCTGGGGCCCCAACCCTGTCTCACCAGGGCCCTGGCCAGAAGACCTTATTCATGGGTAGCCAGGGAGGTAGGAGCTATCCTGATGGCCCATTCTGATACCAGTTCACTTCTCATGAGGACCCAGGGCTTTACCCAGTGAGGCCACAAGTGCGAAGTTCTCCAGCATCACGTGGCGGTACAGGGCCCTCTGGCCTGTATCCAGGAGCACCCATTCCTCCCGGGAGAAGTACACGGCCACATCCTCGAAAGCCATCAGGCCCTGCAACAGCAGGCAAAAGGAGACAGTCTGAGGCACAGCAATAGGACACAGCACCCAGCACTTCATCCCATCAGATGACCCCCTGAAGTCTCTGACACTCCCCCTGCTTCCCTTCCTACCCAGACCCATCTCAGAAAGCATTTCCCCATCCACACCCCCGCAAGCCACAGGTGCTCTCCCTCATCTCCACCTCAGCAAGGGAGAGCATGCCTTGGGGCCCTGGGCTAGAACTACACCAAAGGTGGCCCCAGATGTCCACTCAGGCCCCAGCATGACCTCTACAAGGGGTCCCTACCTGTACCTGCAACAAGCAATAGTTCAAGTCCTCGTTGAGCCCCCATGCCTATCCCAAGGATCCTCCCCTGCTGTGTCTGCCTGACATTTCAAGGCTGTTTCTCCAGTCTGATGAACTGGATAATCACACCCAGTTGCCACAGGAAGTGGCCCCAAAGACCTGGTGGACACACAAGAAGTCGATCCCTTCCTCCCTCCCCAGCACTGTTCCATTTCTTGTCTGCTCTGTTGCTGCCCACCCCACCATCAGCCACCTGCCAGGGTCCTCCACTGACAGCCCCAGGAGCCCTGGCCACTCTTTTCTTGTTGCCTCTCAAGTCCTGACCGCCCTGGGTCAGTCCATGGGATCATCCTCTCTTCACGCCAATTCCCAGACCCTGCTTTGGCCCGGGACACTAGGTGGGACTCTGTCAATTGGATGCCAGAAGTTCATGTCCCCTAACACCTGCACTCCAGGACATTACAGACTCCTGACCTCTTCCCTGAAAGAAATCACCTTTCTCCTCGAATTCTTGTTCTGTCTGTAGCAACTCCGTTCTTCCAGCCACTCGAGCTGAAAATCCTGGGACAGTTCTTTACTCACAACACTCGCTCACACCACACACCTCATGCATGAGCAGATTTATCCACAATCCAACCATGTTTCCCACCACCACTGCTCCATTTGATTCAGGAGACATCGTTGCCCACCTGGACTGCAGAAAGAGCCTCCCTGCACACTCCTGTTCTTCACTCAGCAAAAGGTGTGATACTTTAAAATTCTAACCGACTAGGCATGGTGGCCTATACCTGCAATCCCAGCACTCTGGGAGGCTGAAGCAGGAGAATCACAATTTCTATTCCAGCCTGGGCCATATAGCAACTTAACAAGACTCTATCTTGAAATGTAAAAAACAGATATAGATATAGATATAGATATATAGATATAGATATGGACTGGGAATGTAGCTGAGAGCAAAGGCGGTAGGTTTAATCCCTAGTACTGAAAAAACAATTTTTTTCAACCAAGAGGACGTCCGGCTTTCTGTTCCAAACCAAACCAAACCAAACCACAGCTGGGGCTCCTGACGCCCCAACTTCGCAGTCCTCTCTGCACCAATATCCCTCTCCCCGCGCTCCCCAAGGAGAAGATCCAAGGGTCAGCCGCTCCTTCGCGGGTGCCTGCGTGGGACCTTCACCTTCCGAATGGCGGGCGTGGGACTTCCGCACACGCACCCCTCGCTGGCCAGCACTGCGGCTGCTGAATGAGACACCTCCCCATCCCGGGCCGCGAGAGCAGGGTAAGCCCTTCCTTCGGGGGCCTGGAGTCTGTGGGCTTCTTACTCTTACCCGCGCCGGATCCGTCAGCGCGCCCGTCGCCGCCATCCGGCCTGGGGCTGAGGCGGGGAGGAGGCGAGCGACCTGCATCGCGGAGCCGCCCCGGCCTCACGCGCCTGCGTAGGCCTCCGAGTCCCCACCGGCCTCGGGCGCGGAGCGTGCGGCGAGACGCACGAGGGCCTGCTCGAGGGCTGCAGCGCACGTGGCTCCGGGCGCGGCCCTCCAGCCCCACCGGGCAGACTGCGCGCCCAGGGGAAGACTGAGGCTCGGAGGCGGAGCCACCATCCGGCGGCCCGTCGCGCAGGTGGGCGAGGCACGCAGCGAGCCAGGCTAGCGTGTCCTTCCTTGCTGCTCTGTCTCGGGCCCCAGAGGCTCCTGAGGAGCCACCCTCGCCCCCGACCCAGATCGCCGGTGCGGCCCCAAGTCCGGCTGCAAAGTGACAGTCGTGGGCGCCGGAAGTCCAGCCCCGCCCTCATTGGGCCAATGAGTACTGCGGACTCACGAGCAGCGCCTTCCGGGTGATGTAGTTCCCGCCTGAGTTCCGGCGAGTCAGGAAGCTGGGCCCTTCCGGTCTCCGTGGCAACCGTCACGCGCCGTCGCAGGGAGCTCTGGGAAGCGAGTCCTGGAATTAACCCGGCTTTCCGTTCCCGGGGCTGGGACTTCTGCGCTCTGAGTTCTTGGTCCCCGCGCGCGTGCAGATGCTGCCGAAGTTAAACCCTGGAGGTTTGAAAGTGCAAACTTCCAAGGTTCCAGGAGGCGAGCGAGAAGCCCGAAAAAGAAAACGTAACTGGAAGGGCACGTTAAGAGTAAGAGGAACATAGCCCAGTGTGTTGGCGCACCCCTGTAATCCCAGCACACCGGAGGCTGAGGCAGGAGGATCAGAGCGAGTTCAGAGCAACCTGAACGAATGGCGGGGATTTAGCTCAGTGGCACCCCGCCTGCCTCCTCGAAAGTGCAAGGTCCTGAGTTCGATCCCCGGTACAAAAAAAAAAGCAACCTGAACCACATAGCAATATTCTGTCTCAAAAAGAGATCAGTTTCGCAATTTACTACTGATAATACCCCAAGAATTTCGAGCCCCTAGCCTAAATATTGCTTGAGTCTGGAATTGTTTTGAATCATTTACTTGTAAACTTGGGTTGGGCAGAAGGTACTTTCTCCTTCTTACTTTAGACCTTCTGGTTCTTGCCTTGACCTACGCATCATGATATTGATTCATTGTTACTTTCCTCTCAAGACTAAATAAGTGCGACATTAAAAACAAAAGGGCAGAAAAAAAACAAAAGGAAAGACAATCTCAATCCAGATCCTATTGTTGACAGAAAATAAAATAATTTCTTTTTCCACTGTGACGGTTTAGATTTTAGGATTCTCAGTCCTGTGTCAAATTCCGTGAGGTGTTTTATTTCCCACCCTCTATAGGTACCGCTATGTCTATCTCTTTGTTATCTATAACTGTCCACAGAATAGATGGTATTGGTAAACACCTGTCATGTAAGAGTTAATCTATTTTGGATTTTTTGGGGGGGTACTGGGGTGTGGGGATTAAACCCAAAGCCTCCTGTTTATGAGGCTGGCACTCTACCATTTATTTACACCCCCAGAAGAAAATTTGGAATTTATTCTCAAACCAGTGGCAATATAAGACAGTACTGAAAACGCCGACCTTCTGCTTGCTGTCCCTACCGCTCAAAGATTTCAGACCAACTGCTCGTTCCTCAAGGTGAATTCAGCCTGTCCCTTAGCCTTACATTCAGGGCATCAGTTTGGTTCACTATACTCCTCCTCATTATTTTTCAGGAAAAAGCCTGGATCTCGCTGACTCGTTTGTGGCAAGTGTTGTTGGGCGCTTCCTAAAACTGTCACCCTCTTGTTATTACTGATGATACCCCATTTCTAGCCAAGCTGGTGATGCACACGGACAGTCCCACCCTCTGGGAGGCTGGGGCAGGAGGATCACAAGTTCAAGCCCAGCCTGGAAAATTTAGTGACTTACTGAGTCTCTGTCTCAAAATGAAAAAAAAGTTTTTTTAGATGGTTGTGGTGGCACATGCCTATAACCCCAGCACTTGGAGGTTGAGGCACGAAGAACAGCATGAGTTGGAGGCTAGCCTGGAGTTCAGATCTTTTCTGAACTCACAAAGGATAACCAAAAACACACAAGTCCAGTTTAAAAGGTGGGAGAATGAGTCCACTGCTACAGCTGCCCTTCATGAGGCTGTGAGGCAGATCTCTGTCTCTCTCTCTGTCTCTCTGTCTCTCTCTCTCTCGGTTTGGTACTAGGGATTGAGCCAAGGGCCTTTGCATGGATGTACATCCCCAGCCCTTTTTTTTTTCTATTTTCAGACAGGGTCTCCCTAAGTTGCTAAGTTGCCCAGGCTAGGCTTGAACTTGGAGTCCTCCTGCTGCAGCCTCCCAGAGTGCTGAGATTACAGGTGAGCACCACCATACCAGTGTGGGTGCTCTTGGTGCCTAAGCCTCCATCTCTGGCTGAAGGTTTTCTCACACAAGCTACTTACTTTGGCCTTCTCATAGTCCTGACTATTCTTTTTTTTAGTCGTGACTATTTTTATGTTCAACAAGATTATAGAGACAATAATGGCTTTCCCACATTGACTACACTAAAATTCCATCCTCCGCAGTCAACTTTCAGATGCCAAGTGGTTGGATGCTATTTTCTGTATTTTTCTTTCTTTGAGGAGGGCACTGGGAAGGAAGCCAGTGGCCGGGTGCTTTTGCACTCAAGATCTTTCCCTATTGTGAGATATGCTGCTAGAAGACTTTTTACATCAGTGCATGCAAATGTTATTTCTCAAGTGTGAACTTTTTGGTGTTGAGCTTAATTTTTTTTTTTTTTGGTACTGAGGATCGAACTCAGGTCCTTGCGCTTCCACAACAGGTGGCGAAACCACTGAGCTAAATCCCTGGCCCAATTTTTTTTTTTTTTTAAGTCAGGGTCTTTCTATGTAGTCCAGGCTGGCTTTGAATTCACTAAGTACCCCAGGCTGGCCTTGAACTCATGTAATCCTCCTGCCACAGCCCCCTGAGTGCTGGGATTATAAGCATGGGGCACCAACCCAGGTCTAAGGGACTTTCTAATTTTATTTTATTTTGTTTTGTTTTGTTTTGTTTTTTGATACCGGGGATTGAACTCGGGACCTTGCACTTGTAAGGCAGGCACCGGAACCACTGAGCTAAATCCCCCAGCTGAACTCTAATTTTAACCTTCAGGACAAAATGAAACTTTATTTATTTATTTATGGGTAACAGAGATTGAACTCAGGGCCTTGTGCTTTCGAGGCAGGCACGGTGCCACTGAGCTAAATCCCCAGCCCAATTTATTGATTTTTTTATAGCTAAACATTTATTGGTGCATTTCAGGCATACATATGATAACGCTCATCACAGGGAATTTGCACCTGAACATGATACATCCTGTCTCTCTTTTTCCATCACCCTGGACTGAAGCCCCTTCCCCTCCCTGGGTATAGAAACTTTATTTCCACTTTTTCCTTGTATTTTCTATTTTCTTTTTTCTTGTCCCTTCCTTCCTTTCTTCCTCCCTCCTCCATTTTCCCCTTCACCTTCCCATTTTAACATTTTCTTCCTACAAAAGGGAACATTAAAAGTTAGAATTTTTTTTTTTTTTTTTGGTACCAGGGATCGAACTCGGGTCCTTGAACTTGCAAGGCAGGCGACAAAACCACTGAGCTAAATCCCTGGCCCTAGAATTTTTTTTTTTAAGACAAGGTCTTACTATGTAACTCAGGCTGGCCTTGAACTCAAGGAGATCCTCCTCCCTCCCAAGTGCTGAAATTACAGGTATGCCCCATCACAGCCAGCCCAAGAGTTAAAGTGTTTTCCCTGAGATCTGGGGCATAGCCACCACCCTTTCCTCTCTTTAGCCCAGATAAATGGACAAATATGCAGACACTGGCACCATGAGGTCCAAGTCTAGTTTCCTAGCCAGGTGTGGTGGCGCATGCCTGTAATCCCAGCACTTGGGAGGCTGAGGCAGGATGATTGCTGTGAGTTTGAGGCCAGCCTGGGCTACATAGTGACTTCAAGGCCAGCCTGAACTACATAGTGAGATCCTGTCTCAAAAAGAAAAGAAAAGAAAATGGGCAGGAAGGATGAAGCAAATTTGGAGTTGTCTGTTGTCTTGTTATGTTCCCTTTTCCCTCTATTTCTTATTATAAAGAGCCTTAGGGCCACTGTGTTCACTCTTGCATGGATGGCCCACCATCATGCTGTAGGGTGTACTTCTTTTTGTACTTGGCTCAAATTTGCTCTGCAGAGCCTGTTTCTTTACCTACCTTAACTTTGGTACTGTAGGAAGAAAGCGGGGGGGAGGGAAGGAGAGAGAGAGAGAAGGGGAGGGCTAGCGATATAGCTCAGTGTGAGTGCCCTGGGTTTGATCCCTTGTACAGGGCTGGGGGAGCCTTTGCACACCTGGGCACAGTTACATGGTGAATCGTGGCAATAAGCCCCCTCCATCTCCTCAGATCTAGCTTTGAACAAAGCCTTTTTGTTTTCAACAAGTCTCCCATGTTTTGTTTGAAGAACTGCCTATAACATAATTTTTTTCTTTTTTTTTCCTTATTCTTTGTGGGTTGTTTTTTTTTTTCCGGTACTGGGGATTGAACTCAGGACCTTGTGCTTACAAGGCAGCCATGGTGCCACTGAGCGAAATCCCTGGCCCTTCTTTATGTTTTTGTTCTGGGTACCGGGGATCAAACTCAGGACCTTGTGCTTTCCAGGCAGGCAGTGGAACCACTGAGCTAAATCCCCAGCCCCCTTCTTTATGTTTTTGGTACTAGGGATTGAACACAGGGCCTTTGTCTCACCAAGCTACACCCTAGCCGTACATTTGTTTGACCTTTGTTTACTTACTTATTTATTATCTATTTATTGATAGACAGGGTCTAAGTCACTAAACAGTCCAGGTTGGTCTTGAACTTCTAATCTTCCTGCCTCAGCATCCCAGAATGCTGACAGTAATTTTTCTGTGAGTTACAGAAAGCAAAACATTTGGTAGGTAATCTTCAGATAACAGCAGAATGTGCAACCATAAATTTACAATCACTCCATCTGCGGCCCACCTGGTAATGCCAAAAACACACCTCTACCAAATCCCTACATAAGCTTTCCTCCTGCAACCCTTAAGCAAGGTGGCATTTTCAGAAAAACAGTCTCCCATTTCCAACTTGTCAACTTGTTTCCAATAAAGGTCTTTCTTCCCTTATCTCTGTCCTCTGAGTTACTGGCTTCCTCCTGATATAGGAGAAATATAATTCCCAATCTGCTAGGTGTCACATGCACTGAGTTCGTGTTCCCTGAAATCAAAACATGAATTCCAAGGAACAATGGAGGTTAAGAGTAGGAAAGGTTTGTTGAGAGGATGGCTCCTGAGAGACAGGCGAGGTCCCAAAAGTGAGGTGGCCACCGAGCCCTGTTGTCAGGGGTAATTTATACAGCAAAGTCACAATGTGGATACAACATTAGTCAAACTATAACCAACCTATAGGACTAAAGTATAGCTACTGAGTTAATATGACCCAATAGGGATGTGGGTCACATACCAAGAGTTTATGGAAAGAACAAAGGGATTTTGGGGAAGGGAAGGGACTGACCCCACCTGGGCGACTCATGTCCATCAGAACTTCCTGGAGCACGTGGTGCTAATTATAATTCCAGGTTGCTGCTTTTCCCTTAGGGAAGCATGTAGGCCTGGCCACCGCATCTTTATCTTGAAGCCTGGCCTTCTTCAGATGCCCTCCAACCACAGTTCTAATGTCTTTTTTTCTGCTGACTTCCTTGAGAGCTTACTACCTCTCTGATTGTGTTAGAGACTTGGTTAAGCATGATGGTAAGGACAAGAAGAGTTTCTCTCTGGGGTGGGTTGTAGCTCTGAATGGAGTACTTGCCTAGCATGCTCCAGGCCCAGGGTTTGATCCACAGTATCAAAAACAAAAACAAAAACAAAAACCAGGAAGCCTGGCATGGTGGTGCTCACCTATAATCCTAGCACTCAGGAGGCTGAGGCAGGAAGATTGCCCCTAGTACAAAGTCACCCTGGGCTACATAGTGAGTTCAAGATCAGCCTGGACTACACTGTGAGAGCCTGTCAAAAACTAAAAACTAAAAACTGGAGGGCAAAAAAAACAACAGGAGGGGCAGACGCTTGTAATCCCAGCACTCGTGCGAGATGGAGGTAGGAGGATCACAGATTCAAGCCCAGCCTGGGGAATTTAATGACTCAGCGAGAACATGTCTCAAAATTTTTTTTAAAAGGAGGGGGAGCAGCTGGTGATGTAGTTTAACGGGAAAGTTCTTCGGTTCAAGCTCTAGTATCTAAGAAAAAAGAGAAAGAGGATATTAAATCATGACCCTTTCATCTTTTTTTTTTTCGTACCGGGGACCAATCTCGGAGCCTTGCGCTTGCGAGGCAGGCGGCGGAACCACTGAGCTAAATCCCCCGCCCCAACCCCTCATCTTTTAATTTGGGCCTCCATTTCCCAGCGCGGTAAGGCCGATGCGTTGCCATGGGGAACCGGAAGGATGCCCTCAATTGGACGGAAGCAGGGCCGGAAGTATAATAACTGGAAGGCCCAGAGGCATGTCACCCTGGGCAAATCGCACCTACTTCCGGCAGTGTGAGTCAGAGGGGGAGGGACTTCCGGCTCGCTGCTGGTTGGGGGCGTTCATTTTGCTCTTGACGGTTGTCACGGCCCTTGGAACGAAGGGGTCGCTTCCTCGACGCCTCCTGGGACCCGCTGGGAAGGACAGTGAGGAGGACGCGTCAGCCTCCGAGCCTCTGAATGTGACCCTGCGGGGACCGTCCTCCACACACGACCCCTGGCCTGCAGCCCCGACGGTGGCGCTCCGGGCCTGAGCGCATTGCCTTGGCGAAGTCCAGAGCTCTGCATCCGCTCGCTGCCATCGCCCAACGGAGCTCGGCGCCCCATGGCAGCTGCGGCCAGGGGCCCGGGTCGGGTGAGCGGAGGGGGCTTCGCCCCTCGCCTCTGCTGCCTTACGTTGTTTCCCCGGCTAGAAGCTGATGTCAGGCCCGGGGTCCGGAGTCCCCACCATGCCTTCCGCGCAGAACTTCCCACTTCCAGAGTTAGCGAAATGTGGGAGATGTTACAGGAAATAGGAACCAAGATGTGCACATGCTTGGAATGAGCTGAGCTGGGGTGTTCAAGTCCTACTATGTCTGAGGATCGTAGCGCAAGGGGTGGGGGAGCCAGGCCTGGAGTCTGACAGCGTGAAGAGCTGGCCTGCGGATGGCGGAGGGAGCCAGGAAGGCTTTTGGCACTGGAGGGAGGGAGCCGCAGATGTTCCTAGGCTCTGGCCGCAGAGGGGAGACCAGATGGTTGGGGAAAGGTTCAGGGCAAAGGAAGGGAGGCCCATAGGAGTCTTACCTCAGATAGACTACATGAGTGATGATGGCTTGCCAATCTCGTGACTGTGGACGAGGGAGAGGTTAATTTTTTTTGTACCGGGGATCAAACTCAAGACCTTGCACTTGCCAGGCAGGCAAAGTGCCACTGAGCTACATCCCCGGCCCAGAAATGGCTAAATTTTGATTTGTGTTTTCAATTAGGCCAGCAAGATTTTATGATGTGGAGGGTGAGAGAGAGAAAAAAAGTGACAACAGTATCTCCATCAGTTTTGGCCTCAGTCACTAGAAGGTGGAAGTGCATGTCCACTGAGATGGGGAGTCAGTAGGTAGAGCAGGTGTTCAGGGAAGGTCAGAAGGTGAATTTTTTTGCCATGTTGAATATCCGAGATACCCCCAGGGATTCTTGAGTGGAGGTGTCCAAAGGATAACTGGACACACAGGGAAGAGTTCTGCTCAGGGATTCAGCTTTAGGAAGGAGGATCTTTAGGTCACCACAGTGCATGCCTGGTGGTAGGGCAGCTGAGGATGGGATGGCTGGCCCAGGTATGGTGGTAGATGTCACAAAGTCAGATGAAGGGAGAAGCAACCTCAAGAAAATATGTGGGAGAGAGGAGGGTCCAGAAGGTGACTAATGTCCCTGGGATGTAGTCTGGGCAAACAGATGAGTAGAATGATGGTAGAGCCAAGAATAGTGTGTATTCACTTCTCCATAGGCTCACTATGGGGTTTTTGGGGTTGCCCTGTATGGGCTGTGGTGTTTTCAGACAGGCTGGCAGTGTAGCTCAGTGGCATACAGGGTCAGCTGGGAGAGTTTCAGGCCTAAGGTAGAAAGTGGTGGGGATGGGCTTTGAATACTCATACTGTCGAGGGGGATATCCTGTGGTGGTAGGAGACAGTGTGCAGAAAGGCACAGGAGCCTGGAGATCTGTATGGTTCTGAATGGCTACAGGTTGAAGGAAGGAACAGGGCCAAGTAGAGGAACCATGAGGTAAGGGCTGGGTACTACTGACTATCAATTGGGTCTTTTGGAGGTCTGAGGCAGGACGGGATTTTTTTTTTTCCTTCTCTTTTCTTTTTTTTTTTTTTTGGTGGTGGTGGGGGCTGGGGATTAAATCCAGGACCTCTGCACTGAATATCATTCCCAGTAACTTTTTTATTTTTTGAGTCAGTCTCACTGTCACTAGTTTCTCAGGCTGGGCTCGAACCTGTGGTCCTCCTGCCTCAGCCTCCCAGTATGCTTGCATTGTAGGTGTGCACCATAGTGCCCAGCTTGGGCAGCATCTTGATTGCTCTCACAAGCCAGCCAAGGTCTGGACATTTGCAGAGGCACTTGGGAAGGAGGGAAGATGCTGGTTTTGTGGGCCGTTTGGTTGGCAGTGGGCCTGGAGGAGGTCCAAGGAGGGATGTGCACATGCGTAAGTGTGAGACAGTGGGCCAGGGGGCCAGGGCTAAGGAAAAGGTGAGTCCCGGCCTGGTGTTTCTGGAAGGCAGAACCTGGGAACCCAGAGCTTATGTATCATCGACCTGTCTGTCTAAGGGGGACACACGGGAGACACACATGGGTACCGGGGCTTAGGGAAGAGAGTTGTTACCCTCTGTGGAGGGTATACAGGAGTCATGAGCAAGAGACTGCTGCCAAAGAGGTAGGATGTGGGGCTGAGGCATGGATGGGCTTACCTGTATTTTTCCCCCATTTTTCTTCTGTCTGTTGGTCTGGTTCACTTCCCTGTTGCCATCATGCCAGGACCAGATGACCTTTGAGGATGTGGCTGTGCACTTCTCCCGTGAGGACTGGGGCCTCCTTGATGAGGCTCAGAGGCACCTGTACTATGAAGTAATGCTGGAGAACTTTGCCCTTGTGGCCTCACTTGGTAAGACCCTCATGTCTGTCCCAGCATCTCATTCTGGGCTCTGCCCTTACTGTGTTCTCCAAGAGCAACCCTGTTTCCCTACCAATGGAGCATGAGAGCTGCTTCCTCACCTGGGTCACCTGCCGCGTGTGCAGAGATGGCTGTGGGTATGACCTGCTCCTCTCCCTGCACACCCTTGACCCTGTATGAAGTCCTCCTGGGAAGGAGTCAGGGCTGGAGTCTTAGTCTGCCTCTTGAGTCTGTCCAGGTGGTGGCACCTCTGTGCCCCAAGTTCTACCTCCCTCTCATCAGACACTTTCAGGAGCCTGGCTATGACAGGCACTGGCATGGTTCCTGCTTGTGGGGACTACTGCTTGTTCCTCTGAGACACTTCTTAGAGGCTTACTTTGTAACACTGAGTTTCCTTCCTGTGCAAAGATGAGCTGAGTTCCCTTTGGTCTGTCATGAGGGGCTGCACTGAGTGGGAGCAAGCACTCACCTGGCTTGTATTTCCCAGGACTTGCAGCTTCCAAATCTTATGTGGCTTTCCAGCTGGAGCAGGGTAAAGAGCCTTGGGTGCCCAATAGGGTGGATTTGTCTCCAGCCACAAGAGAATCCCAGTGGAAGCCTGGGCCTGGTGAGTGGGAGCTAGGGACAGGGGTGACATGGGGGTTAGCACTGTGCCAGGCACCTGATGTACCCTCTGGTGTTTACTTGCTGGGGCCAGTAGCCACACTTTACTCCCACCTTTCATTCCTCATTCTAAACAACTCCTGACCTTTTGGCATTTGTACTCTGACCTCAAGCCCTTGAATGGTGAATGACCCCACCACTCTTGACTTCCATGTCTTCCCCATTCCCCTCTGCTCCCTTTTCAGGGTGCCCCCTGCAATCCTACACCCAATGTATTTTAAGAGGTGCATATATCTTCATGTAGACTGTGAACACCAGATTCTCTGGTTGCACTGGACCTCCCTAGGTTTGTCACATTGCTCTGTGTCCCCTTTTCCTATCAGAGATCCCTGGGGTTGGCTTGTGTCAGATCCTGCTGAGATCTGAGGCATGAGTTAGAGTCCCTGCTTCCCCAAGCCTCACTCTTACCCCTGTGTGTGGAACCTGTTGAGGGTTCCTCCTGCTTTGGCATACTCAGCCCCAGTGCTATCCTGCTGGCTCTTTACCCAAATCATATCCTGCATATGTCAGATAAGCCCTTGTCAGGAGGTTGCCCCTCTCAACAGAGTCCGCATGTACGTCACTACATGAGTCTACCTGCACGTTGCTGGCTTGGAGCAGAGGAATCCTCTTCTGAACAAGGTGTTTCCACAGAAGCGTTCTGGTTTGGGATTCCTATGCCAGGTCCTTGTATTCAGAAGATCAGTACCTGTGACATGTGTGGCCCAGTCTTGAAAGACATTTTGCTTCCTGCTGAACATGAGAGAACATATTGTGGCCCCAAACCATACATTTGTGGGGCATGCGTCAGAGGCTTCTGGATCAGTGTGAGCCTTCAGAAGGACCACAGTTCTGAGAAAACCTCCCTATGCAGGGAGGGTAGGAAGCACACTCTGGAAGGCCATGATGTCCAATATCAGACACCCAGAAAGGGGAAGCAGTGCAAGATCCCTGAGAACAGGGTGGCCCTCCCACCTAGCTCCAGTCATGGGCCACAGCAGGGCATCCACACCATGCAGAAGCCCTTCAAATGTGGTGACTGTGGAAAAAGCTTCCAGAAGGCCTTTGCTCTCCTTGACCACCTGATAGCCCACCCTAAAGAGAGACCTTTGCAGTTCCCAGCAGGTGGAAATGCCCCCAAGGAGAACTCAATCCACATTAATCACCAACAATTTATCACTGATAAAACATCACATGTATGTAAGGAATGTGGGAAGGCCTTCAGCCATCTGTTTAAACTGAGATTGCATCAGAAGGTTCACACTGGAAAATCACATCACACTTGCAGCAAATGTGGGAAGGCCACCCGCAAACACTCACTTATCCAGCACCAGAGAGTTCACACTGGAGAAAGGCCTTATGAGTGTGGCCAGTGTGGGAAATCTTTCACTCACAGCTTCCATGTTGTTCGGCACCAGAAGGTTCACAATACAGAAAAGCCTTACGAGTGTGGCCAGTGCCGGCGAGTCTTTCGTTGTATCTCCAATTTTGTTGAGCACCAGAAAATCCACAGTGGAGTAAGGCCTTATGAATGCAATGAATGTGGGAAAGCCTTTATTAACAGCTCCCATCTTGTTCGTCACCAGAAGGTTCATAACACAGAAAGGCCTTTTGAGTGCAGTGAATGTGGAAAAGCCTTCTGGCAAACCTCAAAGCTCATTCTTCACCAAAGGAGTCATACTGGAGAAAGACCTTACAAATGCAACCAGTGTGGGAAAGCCTTCAGTTGCCTTTCCAATCTTGTTCCACACCAGTGAATTCATACTGGTGAGAAGCCTTATGAATGTTCACAATGTGGGAAAGCCTTTGGTCAAAGCTCTGCCCTCATTCAGCACCAGAAAGTTCACACTAGAGAAAGGCCTTATGAATGCAGTGAATGTGGTAAAGCCTTCAGCTACAGCTCTA